GGGTGGTTTTCAAAATGTGGCTCTCGCCTTAGCGCCGCGCAAATTCGTTGAAAAATGCGAGAGCATCACGGATTGAGGCCGGGTGGTTTTCAAAATGTGGCTCTCGCCTTAGCGCTGCGCACAGTCGCTTAACAAAAATGAATGTTTCACTCATTGAGGGCGGTTCCTTTTCAAAATGTGGCTCCCGCTTTAGCGCTGCGCACATTCGTTTTAATTTCACGGACTGAGGGCTGTTCCTTTTCAAAGTGTGGCTCTCGCTTTAGCGCCGCGCACCTTCGTTTTGAACATTTGCAAGAGTTTCATGGAATCACATGCTCAACGTACCAAAAACGGTGTGTTGGACAGATTCAGGATTATTCGGGTGCATCAATTATGTTAAATCGCGGTGTTGAAATCACAAAAACGGCATTCTGGCACGATTCCGGATCGTCAAGACGCAGCAGTCAGGTTGATCCGTGGCGTTGACATCCCGAGAACAATGTTGTGGCATGCTTCAGGAGCGTTTTTTTGGGGAACGGGAGACAAGGACCTGAACATTCAAGCGTCGGCGAAAGCCGCTTCAGATCTTCGCCAGATGGCTCTGTCTTAAGCGAATGTCATCCATCCAGCATTACTGCATGGGTCCTCGCATTCGGCCTCTCCGTGAACACTGGTCAATTGCGGCCCCCACCGCCAAGCCTTGAACCTGGCCGGGTGGACTCCGCAATGCTCGTTGCGATGCCGCGCCTGCCGGGCGCGAGACACCGCGAGAGCGACGCAACGGATGCCACTCAAGCGTGCGAGGTGACCTGCGAATCTGTGCACTCGTAACCGTCTCATCCAGCTTGCTGCGCCGCCGCACTGTTCCAGGAATCGTTGACCACGACGACAAATTCGCCTCCAGTGGGAGCTGATATCCTCGTCAGGTGCCCGGCGGCCGCTTGCCACAGCAGCTAACTTGCGCTTCGCCCATGAATCAAGGGTCCGCGTCTGAGCTTTCGTAGGATACCAAATGTCTGCAAACCATCGCAGGGAAGACGCCGGCAGTTGAGCAGCAAACGCGGCTCTCCGTCGTAACCACACACATGGACATTGAAATATCTTCTTCCACTGGTAGAAAACCTTGTTCGCCTGCGCCATGCGGCATTCCATTGAGGCCCTGGCGCCGCCGGACAAGTCGACGACATTTCCAACGACAACAAACTGCGGCGACCACGCAACCTGTTCTCCATGCGCGCGTAAAGTCAGCAGCTGCGCCAAGCTCAAGGCCGACCGGCGCATAAGTTTCAGTGATATCCTCCAGCACGGATTGAACCTCTCGGAGCGACGATCCCACGAAAATGTCATCCGCGAAGGCCACCGCCGCGAGCCAGAAAGCATCGACGACTCAGCCATCCCCATTCTCTCTCCACTCTCCAGTCCCTCAGTAACGGTCTGAGGACCATCTCTGTCACAAGTACGAACAGCAGAGGTGACTCCGGAGCGCCTTGCGGGAGGCCTGTCCAGGTGCACGGCTTGCCAGGTCACGTGGCCCAGAGTGTAGAAGATCTTTGTTTTTAGCAGCATCATCATCGTGCTCAAGACCGCCAGGCACTGGAGCGAGGCGCCCTGTAACTTCAGAGCTCGAAGAACAGCGGATTGCAATACTTTATCGAAAGCCTTCTTCCAGTCCAACTGCACAACGTATACGCTCTTCCCCCATTCCCGGCTCAACTCGGCTGCGCGGTGGAGGGCATATACTCCTTGTGCGGCATGGCCCCCAGGCACAAAACCCGTCTGGAAAGATTCGAACTTACTCCTGCTCCTCCTCCTCCTCCTCCTCCTCCTCCTCCTCCTCCTCCTCCTCCTCCTCCCTCTCCTGCTCCTCCTCTTTGGGGGGAGCGGAGGACACGGGCAGGTGAATGGGGGAGGAACGGGGAAGTGCGGGCGGAGAAGACGCCAGGGGGCGTCCGTAACGGGGCACGGAAAGGGGGGCACTGCTCCTACGTACGGCCTGCCGGAGGTATACGATAGTGCTGTACCATAAGCGTCGACTCGTGGTCGGGCGACACCCGTCCCACAACCTCTCGGGGAGGAGAGATCGGCGGTGGACAAACCTCCCTTTAGTAAACCTCCCCTTGGCGAGAACGGCGTGGGACCGAAACCGACGGACCTGGACCCGCAAAAATGACGGCCGCGACGCCCTCTCGCGAACCGAAAACGGCCAATTCCTTAATCGACGTGTCAGGGTAGGAGGTCTATCCACCTCCGAAATGAGGCGAGGGGGAAAGGGAGGTCTCGGAATCCAGCAACAGGGGGGGAGACCCTGAGGGGGGGGGCACGATTTCAATCCGCTGCTGGTGCACGGAATTGCCGCAAACAGATGCCCCCCCGCATGCCCCACCTATCGTCGGGGATCTTCTGACCCGGGTCAATCCAGACCCAGGTCAGCAGGAAACCAAAAAATGCAATGCAGGAAAAAAACTGAAACGCAGGTCTTCGCAAACCTGGGTCAGCGAAGGGGGTTTTCGCAGGATCCTGCAGGATCCGGTGCCCTGGCTGACTCCCATTTGCATCGACCCCCGTCTCGAGGCTCCCGATATCGGCAACTATCGAGAGCTGCCCGCGACTGGGGGGCATCTGTTATGAGCGGTCCAGTGCAAGAACCGATCGAACTCAAACACACCCCAGGGCATACCCACCCTTTGCGGGACCCCGAAGGTCGGTGGGAAGGGGAGATCGTGAGCGGTTTCGCTGTTGCAGACACCGGGACAGCGACTCCCGAATGCCATGGCCAAGCTATCCGAGCTCGCCTGACCCTTCATCAGACAGCTCGCCTTCCGTTAGATGCTCGCAGGAGGCCCACTTGAGACAGCGGCTGCCCTCCTCCTCCTCCTCCTCCTCTCC